AACACTAATTGGTTGCCTTTTTATTTTTATTTATTTATTCATTCACAATAATGTTTACTCTGTACAAGGCCGAAGCACCACTCTAGGTAGAGGGTCACAGAGTAATAAGTTAGTGGCACATTTTTTGAGGATATGTGTGGCAAAACGATTAACCCTAGATTTGAACAGGTTAGGTATATAGTAATCGGAGAAGCATCATCTTGGGAATCCGTTACACAAAGTAGCGGCGGTTCGTGGGAAGAAGCTGTTCGAGTGGAACATATCTCACCAATGGAACACGAAAGGAATGATTGTGATATGGCGGGTCTTAGCCGTGAAGATTAGAACTGGTGGAAGTAAGGAATGTAATTCATCTGAATAGTTTCGTTGGAAATTGCAAGAGAGCGGTGAGAGGCTTGCAATTTTCCGTCCATGGGAAAGGGGTTGTAGGGTGGCAAATAATCAATCACCCACAAGGACGCGTAGACACTTTTGGACTCTAGCGAGACTGGGCAGCTCCTACTGGAGAGGCACAGAGAATCGGCAATTTTTCCAGCATCTTTAGCAATAGATCGTATGTACGAATTCCTCTTGAGGTCTGGGTTCAGCTTGAGTCCCAAGAGACACCCAAAACATCGCGATAGACGAAAATTCAAGGTCTGTTCGAATGTTTAAGTCTCTATATCAGTTCAGTTATATTATTATACTAGCGTAAAAGCCGCCTATATTTGACTGAGCCTTTATCACAATAGTTAGGGAGGTGTAGATGCAATAGGCAACAATAAACTACAGACAAACTCAAAATTGATCACTGCATTTAAGTATTGCATTAATCTAACCTTTTAGAAGTTCAACGATAATTCTTCTGCTGCCAATTAATTTAAAGACAAATTGATGTACGTAGTTCCCTGCTTTCCGTACAAACAATTATTTTTATTCCATGGGTGACTTTCGCTGGATATCGCAATGAATTTCGATTATCCCCAAATTTATTAACTAGTTAAAAAAATTTTTATCGTACAGAAAAATTCGTCGCAAAAAAATCAAGTAAAAATTGTCAATTTGCTCACGGAGTCGGCCTGATTCCAAAATGGTACATGTTGGGTTACGGCATCTATGAGTAAAGTTGAAAACACGAACAATTTTATTTTGAAACACTGTAATTTTTTAATTTGAACATAAGCTAGTGAAAATTAGAGAGTTGCGTCCCTTTAATTGTTTTTATTAGCCAAGATGGCGGAATCCGAAAACAATCTTACTAATGAAAATTTGAGAATCCAAAATTTTAGGATTGTGGGTCCGGATTCGGCCGGGAATGTTTTTAATTTGCGCGCGGGGCCTGTCTAATTCCAAAATGGTATGACACGTTCGGCTACGGCATCTAGGAGTAAAGTTGAAAAAGTGTGACACAGTGACACACTGACATTTGCATTTATTATATAGAGGGTTAATATGAAGCAGTTTATGTTATGTGCATATTGTAGGATCCGAATGTATTTAAACTCAATTACCAAGTCGTGGGTATCAAACACTTGTATTAAGGCTTTTCGAACTTAGCTCTGGTATTCTTAACAATGTTTTCTCTGTGACCATTGAAACTTGGTTTCGAGAACATTTTTTATGTTGCCTATTTTGGAAATGGAATAGTTTTAATGTCGATCTTTTGCTACCCTTGGGTTTTATTTTCATTGCAGAACAACTTCCGGTTTTCAAAGTTTGGATCATCTCCTTGGACATGTCACCTTGGCCATTATATTTTGCTTATTGTTTATTTCATGTGTTAGTGGGTGACAGCAGAGCGCAAGGTAAGTAAAGAATTGAACCTCAGGTGTATTTTTCTTATTTTTCTTCCCATTGCTTCCAGAAAAAAAAACCGTTTCAAATCGCAATTTATTGTATTTTTGTCTTTTATTCATTCTTTTTTCTCTTTCTTTGCCTTTTTGAAATGAAAAAAGATGATTGATGGGAAGTTTCGATTCTGCATTCATCTCACATAAAAACCTTCGAAAAAGACATTGCAATGTTAACTTGCTACAAGAGTGATTAACATTCACGAGCAAGCGTTATTGGTTATTCCTTGCTTTCAAGAATAAAACTAGGCTCATAGTTTATAGGAATCTAACTTTGAATCCCGAATGTCAACTAATTCCAGATTCAAATCAAATTGGGATCATTAAAAAAAGAATATATTATATGTTATGAATGGCTAAAGAAAGAAAGTTTCCCTCTTGTTCTTTTATGAGTATAAATTTGGTTTACCAAAGTGTGATATAAAACAATTATATTTCCTAGTCTTCGTAAAAGGAAATTCGGGGCCTAAACATTTCTTGCTTTAAGACCTACCAAAGCATATTACTATAGATTACTCCTGCAAAATCACCAGGGTAAGATTTGTTTACCCGTTGGGCCGATCCTTAGCACCCTCTTTTAAACTCTCTCAAACACTGACTCTCCTGATCAATGGATATACTCTCAGCTTCACAAGCGATTCGTCAAAGATTGTGCAAACAGCTTTAAATTTAACCCATTTCGTCAAGAAGGGTAGATTATTGGTCGATTCTTCCGAGTTGTAGAACAATGAACAAAGAAATGTGTTTCCCTTCATAATTTCAGGTAAACAGAATATTGTCACGTGCACGAAAGATAATATGACGAAAACATTGGGTTACTTGTAAAGCCTCAGCAGACATTGAATGGTACAAGTATTTCCAAGCCTGACATTTAAGACTGTCTGGTCCTTTTGAAGAACGGTGTTGGAATTCAAAGATTGTATTCTTTATTAGGCTTCTGCATTTCTCTCGAAATAATAATAGCACCCAGTTTGGTCAGAATTCAGTTCTTTTGTGAGACTGATAACTATTTCAGGGTGCAGTCAGGGGCGATAATATAAAGAGACAGTGCGCTGCCCAGACCACATTGCTCCTCCCACCTCTTAGCCATATCTACAAAATCGAAAGGAATATAAGGCATTACAGTTAGAGCCGGCTCAGATGCAGGAGTTACCGGAAGGTTGTCTGTGTTGACAGTCAACCGCCTTCGAGGTTTCACTCAGGATTTTCTGTCAGGATTTACTTCCATAACTTTTTTCTGGATTGGATATGCTTGCAAGACAGTGAATGTTTAAAATCAGAGTTTTCTTTCCCTAAGGTTGTATTCTAAATGTATAATATTAGGGTGTTTGGAAAGTAAGGTTCCCTCAGTACGAGGCTCAATAACCACTCAAAGGAGAGGATTACTTAATGAGGTAGTTGTATGAGCGTAAGAGGTGGAAGTAAGAAATGCAGTTTATGATGTTATGTCGGAAAGATAACGGTTAACTGTAGACTTGAAGAGGTTAAGATTGGATTAATCGGGAAAGCACCCTCTCAGAAGCAAGTTTCATAAAGTAGCATTTCTTGGAAAGAAGCTGTACGAATGAAACTTTTTTCTGGCTTATAGAATAAGGGAATGAGGACGATTCGTTCCACAGTCTGTGGTATGACGGGTCTTACCTATCAATGTCAGGGTTGGTGGAACTAAAGAATGTAGCCTGTTAAAATATTTGCGATGGAAATAGCGATAAGGTAGCATGTCTTGCGAAATTTTGTCTGTAGCAGAAGCGTTGTAAGCTGGAAAATAATTCATGATCCACAAAGCCGGTAGACACTTTTAAACTCTATCAAGTAAAGATTAAGAAACTCCAACCCTAAAACAAATGTAAATTAAATTTATTCAATATTAACACTATTTACATTGTTCGGATTATTATCTCCATCTTTATTGTCATATTCACAACGTTTCGGCCGTTGTACGATCCGGCATTCTTCAGGTGATATTCGTTGGAATTTCCCCAAGGATAAAAAAGGGATAAAAGCGTTAGCTGAAGTAATCCAGTAACTTGACTTAAATTGTTGTGAGTTCAATACCTGGCCACAGCAGAAGTGAACAAAAATTTGGAGAGTTCACTTACTAAGAGGAAATAACAGAAATGTGATATCCAGAAAAGGCATTTGACATGAACAAACTACCCGAGTGGATGAAATAAAGGGTTTGGTCTAAAATTTCAACGTATATCACCTTAAGAAGGCCGGAGTGCACAATGGCCGGAACATACAACGGCCGAAACAATAAAGATGAGGACGATAGTAAATAATGTAAATAGTTACATCACCTTATCTCAGACATAGAGACAAATTTATTCAAATGTTATGAAAAAATATAGCGAGCATTTTCAAAGACTGAAGCCCACAGGAAAGCCAAATTTTCGGTTCCACGTTTAAAGAAATCTAGCGTTTTCCTCATAAACTATTTGAAAGAATTTTCAAATTCTTCTTTGGTCATTTAATAGATGTTCTAGTGTTCTAAACAAATGAAAATCTGTCTGTGCTAAATCTGGAGAGTACGAAGGTTGTGGAAGACCCCACCCCGTACTTTCTATCTTTTCATCAGATTTGCGTGGTACGTCCTTGTGTTTATCAATTCAGCGCACTTTCGATGTAATATTTTATTTACTCGATCAATAAACCACTCCAGTGATTATATCATCATTGACATAACCTTTCATATTCGACAACAAAGCCAAGACTTCCGTGGATGGAGTCTTTGGTTTTGGTGATGTCATTGTAGTTATCTATTCTGTGATAACCAATGAATTTTTTTCGAATTCTTTTGACATGCAAAATCCATTTTTCATCACCTGCAAAAAAATATTTTCAAAAAGTGAAAAGTTCGACACAGAGTCAAGTATATTTAGAATTGTGATTCAGATTTCATCTAAAATTTAAATTGCGACTAACAGGAAATCGAAGAACATATTAATCTGACATTTTTATCTGTATATTTTGAACTTATAATAGTTAATACAGATTTTAAAAATATCTACAAAATTTTTAGCGAAGCCATTTTTTTCTGTGTATGCTTAATATTTTTATTAGCACGAAGGGAAGACGCTCCCTTCAATCTTAGTTCTAAAATACACTTCCTGTTTGACAATCTATTTTTCTCTATCTTTATATTTCTCGTATAATTTAGGGTGTTCCTTGATGCCAGCAGATGGTGGCCTAGCCTACCGGCAGTACGTCCAAGGCTCTGGTATAATTGTTCGCAACTGTCCCCCAGGAACGGCTTTTTCAATAGATTCCTGCTCTTGTTCCTTATTCATAAACGAGGGTAAATATATTTAACCTTACCAGTATGTGTTTATTTGACCGCTTAAAAACTACGATATGAAATAAGTACATTTTATTAGTTACAGCGACCAGCATGGGTCTTATATCTTGCCCAACTTAGCAATTCTGGCTCAATGGAGATAACTAATTTACATACTCAGTTTTAAAAATTAAATTTGAAAAATGACTATTTTGTTATTGATTTTATGTTTAACATATGTGATCTTTATAAAGAAGTGACTCATCAGTTTTACCAGACATTGAATTATGTCATTTTGTGTCCTCTACATGTTTTGATTGACCTTTGAACCACCTGATGGATATTCATGAACGTTCTCAATTTTAAAAGTCTTGCTAAACCAATGACACTCTTGCTCTTGTAAATTAACACGTGTAACAATGTAAATTCTACATTTGCCTCGACAAAGTCCCCCAGTGGATGAAACGCATCGGTTAAGAATAGTTTTTCCTTTTGTCTGTTTATTCATTTGTTTCCTTTAGATACACTCTATTCGAAAATAATACTGCCAGAAAGATGGATCGAGCGTGGTGGAGATGAAGACAGTTTTCTGGTGAAATGGCCGCCGCGGTCATCGGACCTGTCTCTGTGTGATTTCTTTTTATGGGGATATGTGAAGGGACTGGTCTATATCCCCCATCTTCCTGCTAGCATTGATGAACTCAAGTAGAGAATCACTTCCGTACAAGATAATGTTACGGAAGACATGCTACAGCGTGTTTGGCAAGTGCTTAACTACCGCGTTGACGTGTGCCGAGTCACAGGCGGTGCACATATTGAACACTTATGAAATCGGTCCCATAATAAACTTATGATGTTCAACACCTAAACTGTTCAATTTTATTGAGTTAGACTTAGTAGTTTTAAGATAATTGCTTTTAAAATGATGTCAGATTTTTTGGCACACTATGTATATATAAAGTGTGTGTATAAAAATTGTTGTATTTAAGTAGTGATTTTACTTGTAATGCATTCATTTTTTTCAGGGGTTATTGATAAGCGTCAACAGTCGTTCTCAGGGAACAATCCAAACCTCGCATCTCTCTTTCCAATACTCATGCAGAACTCCATCAACAAGCAGAAAGGTCAGACAGATGCCTTAATGTCTCGCGATCAATCATCCCTTTACCAGCGATATAATGCAGCCAAAGGAGGCCAGGCAATGAAATCGAGGAATTTGGCTCCATATGATCCACTAAAGATGCAGGTTAGCAATAACGGTCGTTTTAGAAACCAGGCAATAATGCCATCGCAATTTTTATCTGGTCAGGTAAGGAATGACCAACTTGGTATGAACCAGTTTGCAAACAATCCAATACTTTCAGCTTTGGCATTTGAAAAAGTTCAAGAAATGGCCTTAGAAGCCGCCATGGGTTTTTAACACTTGATGTCAGAGATATATATTTGGATCTGTGTGTGACTCTACAACAATGAGCGTTGTTTTAAGATGTCTACACGGCATACAATGATCACATGTCTTCTCTAAATGAAATATTCTGGAAAGGATTTCATAAATTTGTATTGCAAATTACTAAAGATAATAAAAAAAATTCTGACATATAACCATTCGTTTTCTCTATTTTCATATGCATTTCTTGAAATCAACCTTCTCTTATCTTTTTCTCATTGAATGCACCAAAAATATCGTGGCCTTGAGCTAAACTAAGCGAAGATGAAATATTGTATGCCTACCGAGCATAATGGTAAGTGAAGTGGTCCCGCAAAAAAAAATCGCTAGTGCAGTGAGTTCGATTCTCACTGGTTGTCCTATTATTGTCTCCCTGTACCAGACTGTGAAGTTAATGGTGTATCGATAGTATTTTCATTTTTGGCAGACCTTTACTTCAAAGCTAAATTCATGTGCACCTCTGAAGAATATCTGGGACTTATTATTATTATTATTATTATTATTTCATTTCCTTTGATTTCTGGTGTGTACTCATTTCTATCCGGGTTCGCACCAGACACTTAAGGTCAGAAATGGCGTCATGACATTTTTCACTGAGTAATTAAAAAAAAAATACATATTTTACATAGATAAAGCCCTTCGTGAGGTGTAGGCTGTACTCGCGAGAACAATTTCTTGTATTTCTTTAAGGCATGGACTTCCAGGGGTCCCTTCAATTAGTCTACTGAAATCTTTTCCAATCAATCCGAGGGATCCAACTACAACAGGAACTGTTGATGATCTCATGTGTCACATTTTTGAGATTTCCATTTCAACGTCCTTGTATTTTGATAGCTTTTTGAAGATCTTCAAAGATACATTGCTGTCTGCAGGGACTGCCATATCAATAAGGAGGCAATTCCTTTGTTTGCGGTCTCTAATAACGATGTCTGGGCGGTTAGCTTTGATTGTTCTGTCCGAGAGTATTGTTTAGTCCCATAAAGTTGTTACGGGTCCTATCTCCGTAACCGTGTCTGGGTGTTGTTATTATTATTATTATTTGCCTGTGCTTTGTGTCATACAAGTATCAAGAGACAAGTAGTTGTTTGTATTAGAAGATGAAAACAGATGAAGTGACATACAATAAAGGAGAAAAAATTTAGTAATCCAAGAGAAATTGTGTCTTCCTGACATACATTAATGTTTACGCGGCGAGGATTGCGTGTATGTTCATTAAACGATTGTGTGTATGCGTTCGCTGCTTGTAATTCAGGAATTGATCACGTGAATACGATCAGCGGTTACAGTGTGACACGGTTATGAGTGACACTTTTTCGTTTACTTATATCGAGAATAATCCAGAGGTCTACACAATAAGCCGTCGTCTGAAACTACACGTTGATAGCCAAGAGTTTTAGTTGTAAAGCTTATTTCATTAAAAAAAAAAACAAACTCGTAAAACTTATTCCATGTAAGCATCTCAAGACATCTATGAGTCCACTCTATTATTATTATTATTATTATTATTATTAGTGTATGTCATGTTTCCCGCTTTGCATCCTGTAGAGCCGGGTCCAAACTATGGTCGTTAGGCCCTATAGGAGAATTGTCATTTAATTCATAGCAATTTTCTTAGTATATGGAATGTCCCTCGTAGGGCGATCTTCTGGGCAAATTTTATGTTGATGTTACCTGGGACACTGTCAGTAAAATTGTCCATTCTTTTTCTCACGAGGCCCAGTGCTCCGATTACTATTGATACAGTCTCAGTCTTCATTCCCCAATTCCTGTTAATCTCGATCTCCCGGTCCTTGTATTTGGACAATTTCTCGATATTTTTAATAGAAGTTGTTTCTCTCAGATGGTACTGCTATGTCAATAAGCATACACTTCCTGAATTTCTTGACTTTTATGATAATATCAGGTCTTTATTTCCCTGTCAGTTTGAATTGGCATGTCCCAGAGGATAGTTACATCGTTATTTTTCGGTAACTGTATCTGGTTGGTGCTTTCAGTGGTTTCGATTTGGGTTTCTTCCTGTTGTGGTCTGTTAGGGGCCAGAAAGAAAGACACGGAAATAAAAAGGTTGGTTGAACAAGTGTATTGAAATAACAGAACATATATACAACATAAGAGTGTTATTAATCAGCAGATAGAAGTGTCCATCCAAACTGTCAGGTGACCCTGCATCCCGGCTTCCGATATTTAACAGTCCCCCACGCGGGATGTATGTGGCACAAGGCCGAGTTTACCGTGGGTTCTCCGAGCCCGTAGGCTCGGCCAAAATATCCCCACAGAAACTGCATTACCGAGTTTGGGTATGTATACTTCCCCGGACGAAGCTATGCCAAAGCAGTGAGTTCGACAGAAGTCGCACACAATCAGAGACTGTGTCCCGGCTGCCGATATTTAACAGTCCCCCCACGAGGAATGTATGTGGCACAAGGCCGAGTTTAACGTGGGTTTCTCCGAGCCCGTGGGCAAGCCAAAAATATTCCATTTGAACCCGCATAAGCGGGTTCGGGATCTGTCTACCTCCCCGGACGAAAATTTGCCCTTCGGCAAAGCTTTGTCCGGGTTCCTCTCTGCAAAAGCAGAGAGTTCGACAGAAGTCGTACACAGTCAGAGACTGCGGGTCGACTACCTCCTTAGGAAGTCTCGCAGGTTAGTATTTATGGAGGAGGAAGAGTTGTTATGTCTGTGGGTATATTCATTTTATTATTATTATTATTATTATTATTAGTAGTAGTAGTAGTAATAGCAGCAGTATTTCCTTTGATTTCCAGTGTATACTCATTTCTTTCCGGGTCGCAACCAGAGACCTAAGCACCAGAAATGGCATGATGACATTTTCCACTGAGTTTTGAAAAGAAAATTACTCTTATTTTATATAGATAAAGCCCTTAATAAGATTTGAGCTGTACTTATGAGTACAATTTTTTGTATTTCTTTCAGGCCTTACCAGGAATCCATTCAATGAGTCTATTGGAATCTTTTCCAATTAATCCACTGGTTCCAACTACAACAGGAATTGTTGATGTCTTCATATGCCACATTTTTGAGATTTTGATTTCAACGTCCTTGTATTGGATAGTTCATCTTATTTTATTTTTGCTATTGGCTCATCATTTATTTCTTCATTCTTTCCTTTCTTTTCTTTCACTCTCTCTCTCCCTTCCTCTCTCCCTCTCCTATATCTGTCCCCCTCTCTCTCTTTCTTTCTTTCTTTCTTTCTTTCTTCCCTAAATTTAAAAAATTATATTGAAATTTTACTTTTTCTTTCTTCCTTTTTCTTTCTTCCTTTTTTATTATAATGTGACGTCACCCCGTGGCCTCTCTGCCCCGTCGCCGTCTTGTCCTGTGACGACCAATGTGACTTGGTATTGGTCGCGGCACCAAATGTGACGTTCTAACCCTTTTGCTGATTCGGATGGGAATCTGGTTAGGTTCGGTATCAGCTTTGTCGTTCCCAGCTCGCCTCCAACGTCTGGTTACCGAAGTAACTGCTTTGATTTCTAGTCTAACCTACCCACGTTGTGATTTGATCTTAGGTAGACGAAATCAATCAGTCGCCGGGCCGCAATGCAAGCCAAGTCTGAGCAAAGGTAACACCGCACAAGTATATGTAGAAGAAAATAAAGTAACAACTCGAAAAGTTCAAATGTGTTACAAAAAGAAAAACAATATTTTATATCTGGTTGCTGAATACAGGACTGCATCTTTCTCCCAAACCGCTAATATGGATACGTAACACTTTGCTTTTGTTAGGCGAGTCTTAACATCTTAAGTTGTTTTTTTCAAGAAACTGGTTTTTGGTGTATCTTCAGGCGATATTCGTAAAACACGTTTTGGTGGTGTGAGTCTAAGTCGTTCTTCAAAAATAAATTGTTCTTGGTTAGAAGTTGAAGTCGGGATGCGTGGATCTTCAGTCAGCTTCCTGCGAGGTGGGTCTCAGAGCTCACAGCTCAACTCTGCCTCTCTCTCTCCAACTGCTTTCTGTGTTACTGCCGCCCACTCGCTGCGACTCTGCTTATATGGACGCCGACCAAAACCGGGGTGGGCTTGTCGGGGTTTGAGGTTCCTTGATAATTCTAAATCCACAATAAGGATTTTCTTTGTTTTCGGACAGGAAAATTTATTACTTTCCATTTTTGGAAGTCCATTACTTTCTACTTTAAGGGAATCGTCCTCCCAAATTCTTCCTTTCTCATATTGGTATCTCACACCAATCCCCTCAGAGGCGTCAACAGGACTCCCTTCTCTCTCACATGTTTAACTTCGCCTACCGCTCACGCCACCATTCAGCCAATGAACGCTCATCAGCGTGGGTGTTTGCAATTATCGCTCAAAGGAAAAAAAAATTATCTTCCTTTTTTTTTTCTTCCTTCTTTCTCTTCCCTGAGCAGACCTCCCACGACCCATAGTGTGGTCCCTAATCTCTATCTTAACAGAATGTCACCTGGACTTTATCAATCGAGATTTCCGACAGCGTCAAGTGGGTGGTTAACTGGACGTATTCGCATTCTGCCGCTAATTAACTATCCTGGCATCAAACTTTTATCATGTTCATGTCTGGACAATAAAACAGGTGTTTTTCCCAAAACCAAATGATATCTCCCAAGGATAGTTAATAGTTTAATCTTTCCCTCTCTCTCTTGGATGGTCTGATTACCATTATCTCTTAGCATTCTGTCTTGTAAGCCACTTGACCAATTTGAAACTTTCATTATTACCATGGGCAGATGGCTATCTCTTATTCGCCGCCCCGTAACATAAATTAATTCGACAGATCCGACATCTTACGAATAATTATTTCAGGTTCTTCTCGCCTTAATTATTTCTCGCTTTTCATTTTCACGCGACCGCTAAATACAATAATGTCACAATAATTTTTTTCTCCTTTTCCTTTTTCTTTTTTTTCTTTTCCTTTTCTTCTATCTGCTGATGGATTGATTCCTTTTCCAAAAACCATTCATTCATGAAATAAATTATAACCAAGATGAATTTCTAAGGATTTTCTTGACAAACCCAAAGAAATATATTGCCCAACCAACTTTATCACAACTACAATTCAAAAGAACTTATCTAAACTCAACATAAAAATTGTTACTACTACATCCAAAGCAATAAAAGTCTTAGTCAATAGTAAACAAAAGTATAATATAAAACTTGACAGAGGAATTTACTCGATCGCCAGGAATAATTGTCACAAAAAAATACATAGAAGAAACCCCAAGGAATCTAAATAAAAGATTATATGAACAGAAACAATACATTGTATGCATTAGTTGTTCACCGTAACGAGACTGACCTTATTTTGGATATAAAAATGGCTACACTGATCAAAGGAGAAAACAATTCATTAAAATGAAAATGTTTAGAGAATACATTGGTCCCACGGACAATTAGATTAAATTTGTGCCATGGCGCTCTTACAAAACTTCACCATTCCTGGCAGAACTTCTATTATCACAGTGTGGGATATCAAATAACAAAAGTGATGGAAGCAAAAAGAAAAAGAATTTAAATAAAATCGGTTAGATTATATAAAAATAAAAAAAAATTAAAATTAAAAATTTCCAGCATCTCTCTTTCGCGCGCATGTGTAGTCGCACCAACGTAACAAATCTAGTGCAAAAGACGAAACGCGTCACACAAAAAAATTTCCCTTATATATATATATATATATATATATATATATATATATTAAATAAAAGATCAGATGAAAACATATTTTCACTACGTTACTTAAAAATCGAAAACTAAAAACGAACAAAAGAAAAAATAAATAAAAGTAAATAAATAAAAATAAAATAAACAATAAATATATAAGTAAAATAAAATCATTAAATAAGTAAATAAATTAAGTAAATGATAAACAAATTAACAAACAACAATCGCACACATAAACACCAGTAAGCGTAATAACAATCAACAACAAATAATAAAATATAAAATACCCACAAAACTACATTCCGATCCACAATTATTTCCACTCAATAGCCCCTCTATTAATCTGAAACATAACCGTTACAGCCTATCCAATGAGTGTTAGAACAATACAATAGACCTATCCATAATGCCCCACTGAGTAGCATATATAAATAGTCGAGCCATATATATATATATATATATATATATATATATATATATATATATATATATATTATTCATCCACAGACAGACCGTTTCGAATTTCGGTTCGAAATTCCAATCACCTGAATTAACGGCAATGAAGATGAGGATAACAGTCCGAATAATGTATATATATATATATATATATATATTTGGTTGAAAAGTCAAGCAAGCTATGGAGGATGCGAAGTGACATAATTTCTTGTCTAATATATGAGTAAGTGATGTTCATGAGATTTTTGAAGGCAAATTATTAATTAAATTATTTTAGTCTGTAATAAATTTGTGCAGTTATAAATTTAATCGTATTTTTTAAATTTATTAGCATTTAAATATTATTCCGGTTCGCAGATTTATATGATGATAACATTCGATAGGGGCACTCTCAAGAATCTTCCTTTTAAGCAATTTACTTTCTCTTTTAATAAGTGTGACATTATCTGTCTATATTTCTGAGATGAGATATTATGTACACTATTTACATTATTCGGACTATTGTCCTCATCTTTGTCACCATATTTATTACAGCGTTTCGGCCGTTGTACGCTTCGGCCTTCTTCAGGTGCTTGGAATGTCGAACTGAACCCTTTATTTCGCTCACTGGGGTAGACTCAAGGACACATGGTACAGTGGATAAAGGCGTTGGTTAGATCCAGTGACAGGACTCAAAGAGTGTGAGTTCATTACCCGGTTAACGCAGTAGGAAATTAACAGGAGATAACTGACAACTGACATCCATTAAACATGGCACGTGGAACTAGAACAGTCTACCCCAGTGTGACATTCTTTACATCAAAGTTGTGATTGAATTTATCTCTATCTATAAAAGGCAGGATGGGTGTGTGTGTAACGAATACACGGCCGCAATTTTTGACGGATTTGCACCAAAATTTACATGCACATGCTCCAAGATAGCGGGAAAGCCAAGACCGACTTTGCATTTCCCAACTTCCATCGATAGTGGAAATAATCGATTTTTTCATACTTCTACGGCAGTTTTTATGTAGTTTGCGGACATTTTGTACTGGCCAGAGTGGGAGCCTATAGCTGGCTGCCACGAATAGGCAGGAAGATTCTATTGGTCAGTGTGAAAGCCAACAGCTGACTGACACGAATGTTAACTAGCATGCTAACACGCAAAAAAAAAAAAATCGATAGCTGCCTTCGTCACAAGTGGGAAAAATTTAAATCTGCATGGCACTTTACTCCAATTGCCTCATTCGCTTGCTAAAACTCAACGTTGATTCTGATTCCGCAGAGCTGGGTTGGGTGTGAAAAAGTATTTGTTGTTAACATTCTTTTTTTATTCGGTTTTTCCAGTTACGAGTCCTTTTTTAAAGCTGATCGTTTTGTGTTCATTTTGTTTAGTTCTTTTTTTCGTAACAGATTTAATGTTTAGTATAGAGCTTAGAAAAAATTCGCAGTTAGGCAAGAAGTAAGGCATGTAGCAACATCAGCACGGCAAAGGGCACTCCTTTAAAGGCAAGGAAGGGCAAACATATTTTAAGTTAAGTGCTGTATGAGTCGTACGATTTTTGAACCAAGCACGTGCAACGCCGGGCCATGCTGCTAGTTACTTTTATAACTAATGCATTTGATAAATTGTTATGTATAAGATCCATTTTTGAAAAATTTCCCAATGTATTGTGAGGTGCAGTTCTGGCAATTTATTTTATATATATATCAGCTTCAGAACTATAGTTATGGATATTTTGGGTTCAGACCATATGGATAATAATTATGGACGTAGTTGTAATTATTTTCATGTTTAAATTGGATTAAAATATTGAAGAATATAACTCATTTATTAGACATTGGCCATATTGTGTCACTTTAAATTTTGAAAAACCAATAATATTTTTGCCAATATAGAAAACATCCATAATAATGTGAACACTAATGCGTGATTGTTGAAACATATTTAATACAAATTTTAAAATAACACTGATTTAAAAAAATAAAAGTAAAAAAAATTAAATAAAACAAAATCCAAAAACTTTCAGATTTAAAAATTCCAAACAAGCAAAACGTTTCCATTTTACCTTTTAGAGTTCGCGGGTGAAATGAGGTGACTAGGGTTTGTCTTCATCATCGACAGCCATAACGAAATA